TCCTTCTACTGCTGACCCGTCGCTGTTTCTGCGCACCGACACCTCGCTGCCGCCGTTCTACATCCTCGTGTACGTCGACGACTTGGTCTTTGCCACTGCGGACACTGCCGCACTCGCCCACGTGAAGTCCGAGCTGCAGAAGAGACACACGTGCACAGACCTGGGTGAACTGACAAGCTATCTTGGCTTGCGGATCACCCGGGACAGAGCACGCCGCACCATTACCCTGACTCAGTCACACATGGTGCAGCAGGTCCTTCAGCGCTTCGGCTTCACGTACTCCTCGCCTCAGTCCACTCCTCTGCCTACGGGACACTCGCTCTCAGCTCTGCCTTCGGATGAGTCCGTAGAGTCGAGTGGTCTGTATCCAGAGCTTGTGGGCTGCCTCATGTACCTGATGACTTGCACTCGACCTGACCTCGCATACCCTCTCAGCATCTTAGCACGCTATGTTGCTCCCGGCCGTCACCGGAAGGAGCACATGGATATCGCTAAGAGGGTGTTGCGCTACTTGTGCAGTACGTCGGGCATGGGGCTAGTGCTTGGAGGGCGTGAGCGGCCTGTGCTCACTGGGCACTCAGACGCTTCTTGGGCTGATGACCAGGCTACTCAGAGGTCGTCTCAGGGTTACACCTTCAGTCTTGGCTCTGGCTCTGTCTCTTGGCGCTCTACTCGCTCTTCTTCGGTTCTCAGCTCCAGCTGTGAGGCTGAGATCTACGCCACGGCCATGGCTGCCCAGGAGCTTCGCTGGCTCACCTACCTGCTGACTGACCTTGGAGAGCGGCCTCGTTCTCCTCCAGTGCTGTACGTCGACAACAAGGCAACCATTGCCTTGTGTGAGGAGCACAGACTGGAGCACAGGACGAAGCACATTGCTCTGCGCTACTTCGTTGCTCGAGAGCTGCAGCAGCGTGGTCAGCTTCGCCTGCGTTTCGTGGCCACTGAGGCCAACACTGCTGATGTGTTCACCAAGGCACTTCCGCCTCGTGACCATCAGCGCTTTTGCACTCTGCTAGGCCTTGTGCCCACTGGGCCTCACTTGCTTACCTCTTGACCTTGCTTGTACTGCTGCATATATATATATCCTTGCTCTTGCTTGTTTAGCACTGTTATATATATATGCTCTGCTGCATGTGAACTGGCCTTGTGGCCTTGACCTTGTGCTCGGAATTTGTGTGGTATCCTTGAGATCCACCCTGAGCTTGCTTTGCTTTGCTTTGCTTTGCTTGACTGGTCTTGTGACCCCTTGCTCTCCCCCACTTTGCCTTTGGGGGTGTGTCAGATGATTATATTGCTGATGCATATATTTAGGCTGTAGTGGGGTAGCCCATAGGGGGTACAACCCAATTAGGGTTGGTACATGTACTTGTTTCATTTCATAGTGCACTCATTCCTCGCCTCTATCTCAACAATATACACCTGCTCTTGTTTGCTTAGCCTCTTATATATATATATATATATATATATATATATGTGCTCGTGCATGTGAACTGGCCTTCTGGCCTTGAACTTGTGCTCGGAATGTGTGGTGACTTTGTGATCCACCCTGAGCTTTGCTTTGCTTTGCTTGACTGGTCTTGTGACCCCTTGTTCTCCCCCACTTTGCCTATGGGGGTGTGTCAAATTATAATGTTGTCTAGGCTTTAGTGGGGTAGCACATATGGGGTACACATTTCTAGGGTTGCATATTTGTATCAAATCATTCCATAGTCATTCATTCTCGTTCTACTTTTCTCATCCTTCCTGTAAGTCGTCGGGGAAAATCCCGGGGTATCGTTTCAACAGTTCCTGTAATTCGGGCGGTACGGCTGCCAGCAGTCTCTTGAAATCACTCGGCTGCTCTGCTTCCTCTACTACTGCGATGTCTACTGCGTACACGTCAGCTCCTGTAGCGACAACCCGTTTCATTGTGATGGCGTTGACGTGTACCGTTGAAGACTCGGGCGACTGCCAGCGAGGTAGCTCGACCCAGTTACCATTACTTCGCACGGTGCAGCTACCCGTCGTCCACTCAATTCGCGGGTTATACCGTCGCAGCCAATCACGTCCCAGTAAAATATCGTGCCCATCCAGTGTCGTTGCGAGCATTTCCTGTGTAAACCCGAAATTTCCCCCGCAGCGGACTTTGACTCTCTCTACCTTTTCCCGTATGGCCAGTGGCGTGCCGTCGACTAAGCGTGCGTCTATCTCCGGTAAGCAACGGCTAAGTGTCAGCTGCAGTTTTCGTGCGGTTGCGGTATTAACTAAACTGTGGCTTTCTCCTCCGTCGATAAAAATCTTCACTGCTGCTCCCTGTATTTTCCCGTGGATCAGTACTGAGCAATCCGTCGCTGTACCCTCCTTATTCGTCCGAGTCCGATCGATAGCATTAATCGGTACTGTGACTCGGTGAGGGTCGGTGGGGTTAGGCGAGCAGGCAGTCTCGTCAGTAGTTGGCCCGGTTCCTACTGACTGCTGGCGTTTCCCTACCTTGGAGACTCCCTCCCCTGCTCTGCTCCGCGGCGCCTTAGCTCCTCTGGGCATTCGCTCTTGCAATGGCCCGGCCTGTTGCAAGCAAAGCAGCGCCCCTTAAATGGCGCGGCAGCTGCATTTGTCGCAACAGCGTGTACAGTGGCGTGCTCGATCGGTCCCCGAGGACGATGTCCATAGTAGGACCCCGGTCTCGGACGGCGTAAAATGTCGATTTTCTCGGTGAGCGCGAGAATCTCATTGAAGTTCGAGAGCCCGCGTAGCATGATTTCGTGCGAGATGTCCGGCTTCAGCCCTCCGACGTAACGGTCCACCCGCTCCGCTTCGTGCATGTAGCCGACTTGCTCGCATAATGCGAGAAAATCACTCGTATAGTCTTGAACCGATCCGAGCTGCCGCCAAGTGCTCAATCTCTGACGCGCCGAAATAGAAGCCGTGATCGGCTCGAAGCGCGCCCGAAGCCCTGCACACCACGCATCCCACGTGCTGTATTGGGCGGTCTCGCAGAATGAACTCCAGGTGAGAGCTGGACCCGTGGGCCCTTCCTCTTGCGACGGTGGCTCGTAGGCGCATGGCGACGTCACGATGACTCGCCAACAGTCCATGGTGGGGCCCCTTAGGAGCGAAACGGCATACCGAATCTTCGTTGCGTCCGACTCGACGTAATTCGCGTCGAAGAAGACGTTCATCGTGAAGACCCACGATTGAACCGTTGGACCTCCACGCTGGCTCGGGTCGAAGCAGGGCGGGCGTTGCGGCTTGAGTGGCATTAGTGCCATAATGGTCTGTTCGCCACTTGTCGCCGCGAACTCCACGTGCCGACGGGCTTCGCGAGGCTCCCGCGGGCTTGGTGCGACCCTGTTTCCTCCCATGCCAGGCATCGGCTGGGCGGCGCCATCGCTGGCTGCGCCTGAGCGCTGTCCCACGCTGTTGTTTTGTGTTGGTGTGCCGGACGAGATGACGATCGGCTCGTCTGAATGTGCAGATGCATTTGTCGGTGCGTGTCGTGGCGCTGGAGTGTTCATCGTTGATTGCTGACGCGCGGAGTCACGTTCCGCCATGAGCGTCGCAATTTCGAGCGCCGAATCTTCGAGTTGGCGCACCAGACGGTCGAGTTGCTCTTGCATCAATGTGGCGAGCGTGAATTCGGCCATGGCGGGGGTGTCGGGCGAGCTCAGCGAGAGCCTCGGTCGTGGCCGTGCGTGCTTACGAGAGAGCACTACGAGCGACGGTGCTGTGTCGCTGAGAGACGTCTACCCCCCCCAAAAATTAAGACAGTGGGGAAGCGAAGGTGTGGGTACGGTCCGAGAGGAGATCTTAGGCTCTGAATACCAAGTGTTACGAGTGCAATTGAGTGAACTAACGAGAATTGCACTATCGAAGCAAGAGTACAATGAGCGAAGGCATGAGCGAAGAATATATAGCGAAACTATACTGGTAACGGTAATGGACTGTGGTTGTCGCGCGACGGGCCTGGGTGGGACTGAGGTTGGGAAAAAGTGTCGAAGCGGAGGCCCGGAGCGCGGGTTACCCGCTGAGCCGTGAGGTCGGGGTGCGATGTGCGAAGGTGGCGGGCGGATTGTCGATGCGAGGGTTGCGAGTGGTAACGGTGCTGACTGTGGTGCTATAGTGATGTACGCGTTGAGCAGGGATGCGAAGTAAGGAAAAGGATTTTTCCTTACAACAAGTCAAAGTTCTAGCAAGGTGATTGGGAAAACCAAGTGTGGACATGGTAGCTGAAAAGTGCTCACTGATTCCTCGAATTCCGGAACCGTGGATCAGTTCTGAGCCAAAGGAGTTCCTTCCCGCGTCCAAGGTAGGTCAGTGAAATTCCAGAAATTTCTCACCACGTAATCAAATGTTTCGTCGGACCACAACCTTTTCCAGATGGATTTGCCCAACTCCAACCATTTTTTCCAAGTAAGGTTCTCGTCCCCTCAACCAGTAAATCTCCCTTCCACATCAGAAAAGATGTATCCTTGTTCCATCTAACAAACTTGAAAAGCGTCTTAAGTTAGAAAATAATCCTGGGCAGGGGCAGTCTTGATCCTTCTTCAGAAAAGACATCTGTGATTCGGAAAACCACAAATCTGGAGAAACCTTGGAGTTGTCCTTCAGAGAAACCTTGAATCGCTTTTCAAAGGGAAGACTCGAAGTTCTTCCACTTCTGTTGTCAGGAGAATCAGGAAGATAAGTCTCCTTTTTCTTGATCACGGATCAGGCCCCTTATTTTTGGGACAGGCTGTAGGGTGGTGTGACTGGCGGTAAATCCTGGAATGCCCGGCTTAGCTCTGGACAAAGCCATGGTTTCGAAATCAGCTAAGGATGAGGTTTCCGTTAAGTCCAAGTTCATGCGACGGCTAGCGGCGAGCGACGAGGCGACGAGGGACCAGGCTTTCGAGGTCTTGTCACGATGGCTTGTCGCTCGCAAGGAGATCGCCGAAGACGATCTTCTGAAAATCTGGAAGGGCTTGTTCTATTGCATGTGGCATTCGGACAAACCGCCAGTTCAGGCGAACCTCGCGGAAAGAATGTCCGGTATTCTAATCTCGCTCGACCCTGACCTCGCGCTGCTATTTCTGCGAACCTTCTGGAAGACGATGCGACGGGAATGGGGAGGAATCGACTACCATCGCCTGGATAAATTCTATATGCTCGTCCGCCTGGTCATGCGAAACATTCTCGAGTATCTGGAGAAACGGGAGTGGGAGGAAGAGGTGGTTTCGGATCTTGCTGCGTGCGTCATGCAACAGGGGCTTCTTGCTAAGGACAAGTATCGGGCTATCGGTCTCGAACTGCATTTACTGGATATTTTCAACGAGCTCTTTAAAAAGTCTGGAGGGGGTGACGTCAGAGTGGTGAAGGCTGTTCTGCAATTTTCGAAGCCAGTGGTGGGTGTGATTCAAACGAAGGAGGACGGACGATTGCACAAGCGGGCACTGAGTTCCGTGTTTTCGGGGCTGGCGGAATATCTACGCAACGAAGCGAAGGCAAACGCGAGCGAAGCTTCGTACGTCGCTGCGCTTCAAGAGGCGGCGGCCGAGATGTCCGCTGATATCAAAGCAGCGCACGGCACGGCGAAAGGGAAAAAGAAAAGCATGCTTCGGAAAGGACAGGCGATTTTCACGGCGCTGATAAACGAATTGTCTGGGAGTGATCCTGCTGAAGAAGGGGAAAATGGGGAAGAGGAAGATGGAGATGATATGCAGGGTTTAGAAGAAGACGGCGCTGCTGGCGGAAAGGACGACCCTGGTGATGGTGAGGGAGAAGAGATGGAAGAAGGGGAAGAGGAGGAGGGAGAAGCAGGGGGACAGGGTTCAGGGGAGGGTTCAGGGGACGAGGAGGATGGGGAAGAGGAGGACGGGGAAGCGGAGGGCGGGGAAGAGGAGGACGGAGAAGAGGAGGATGGGGAAGAGGAGGACGCGGAAGAGGAGGACGCGGAAGCGGAGGACGCGGAAGCGGAGGATGGGGAAGAGGAGGATGGGGAAGAGGAGGACGGGGAAGCTAATGCGGAGCAGCAGAATGGCGTGAAGGAGGAAGTTTGTGGTGGGGAGCATGATGACGAGAAAGCAGAAGCTGCTGAAGTGAAACTTAGTGAGCAATCAGGAAAGAAACAGCACGGGGAGAAGCAGCAGGACTCAACCGCCAAGCGCAAGAGGCAGCAGCAGCAGCAGCAGCAGGAGCCACAGCAGGGCAGTGGTCCGGGCAAGAAACGCAAGGGAAAGAAGGATGCCGTGGCAAAGGGAGCAGAGAGTGCCGAGAGGAAGGAGCAGCAGACGGTGCAGGGACAAGCAGCCGTAGACTCGTCATCATCAGCAGCTGCAGACCCTATCCCCACTGCTGCAACAGCTACCCTACGATCAGTGCTGGTGCACCCGCATCTGTCAATAAACGCCAAGACTGAAGGACCGGGCGGCGGCGGAGCGGCAGACGAAGAGGAAGCAGACGGGTTCCGAACGCCAGAGAAGGACATCATAGACGCCTTCTCGCACTTTGATTTCCCCCAGGATCTTGCCACAGGTGCTGGGAGCGTGGGTGCTCGGATCATGGCTGCAGGCGAATCCGCCGCTGCTGCTGCCGCAGCAGGAAGCGAGGCAGGAGGTCCGGTGACCCGATCCAAGGACGGGAGAACAGACGCCGAAGCAGTCGGCGTGCAGTCAGCTCCGGCGGGCAAGGCCGGTGGCGCTGCAGGCAGGCGGAAGAAAAAGGTGAAATTCGTTCTAAGCCGCAATCTGGAGATGGCAAAGGGAGGTCCGGTGCCCCCTCCTGCTGTGCGCACACCACCTGCTTCCCGCCCCAAAGGCAGTGCACTCAAGCCCGGGACTAAGCCGGGGCCAATCAACATGCGCATGCTCATGGCTACTGCAGACACGAGCCCCTCGCAGATGACTGCCTCTGGGCGGAAGAAGGTGGATAAAGCTGCCCGCTCGCCTGCCAAGTCCCCTTCTGCTGTGTCGCTGCGCCTGGTTAATTTCCTGAAGTGAGTCGCTGCCAGTGTGGCATCAGGGAGCGAGGCAGCCTTGCTAGGATGCTGCTAGGATGCTGCACTGCTGCTTTGTTGCTGACTGAAGAGAGATTGGGTAATTGTTCCTAGTATCGGTCCTTGAGTATGGGTCTCTGGGTAGTCATGTCAGCCGCTCATTCAAACTATTTTAAACTCTACTTAAAGCCCGAGTACAGCATGGTAATTTTCAAGTTCAAGATTCTTGAACTTGAAGTCTCCAATAACAGGGTTACCCTACTTGTTTTGAGAAAATTCTCGCGACCCCAGGCAATCGTCCTGCGACAACGGAACCCAGAACTGACGTGATGATAGCCAACCATTTATACTATTCACCACTCACATAAGTAGTACTCATAGGCTAGGAGGCTCCAAGGCAAAAGCTAGCGCTAGTTGGCAAAAGCGAGTCGTTGATAAGTGTTCTTTTTTGTGCGGAAGGAAATATAAGTCCACCTCAACCATCTTACCGTAGTCAGTGCACGCTCTAATCTCTCCCTCACGTCACCGGTCTCGTGTTACAACCCGTACACCCACGGCACTTAAGTTAGTAAACGAGATTCGCGTTACTCGAGTCTTGCATTCAAGCTCGCGTCGCACACGCAGGATCTTGTCACACTGGAAGCCGGCCAAGGAGGTCGACAAGAAGAAGTCGACCAAGGACAGTGGTCGAGGAGGAGGAGGTCAACGTCGGGAGTGCTGGCTGTGCGGCGACCCTGACCACCTCTCCTTCGAGTGCCCCGACCGCAGTGACTCCGACGACGACGACGCCAAGGGAGGCCGCGGGAGGTCTGGCAGTCGTCGTCCTCGTCGAGGAGGAAACAAGCAGCGCAAGGAGAAGCAGTCGACGACGTCGAACTCGGCGAAGGACGCCGACTCCTTTGCAGGCGGCAAGGGGCGGGACGATCGTACCGTTTTAGGCACGGGTCGCCCACGCGAATGCCGTACTGGTTCGCGTAACGCACTCAGCCGTTAGTCGCACATGTTCCTCCTCGTCGGCCGCTCTTGCCCACGTCAGACCGCTTTCCTCGTCGCCCGCGCTTTCCCTAATTACCCTCCCCGACCCTCTGGTCGCATATGTTCCCGTAGTTGCCCACGCTCTCCCACGTTAACCACACATCCCCTCGTCGCAATTGCTAGTAGTAAACATACCGCGCTTCAGATCGTCACCCGCGCTCCCCTCATCACCCTCGTCGACCCACACCGATCCTCGCCGCCCTCACCTCCCTTGGTCACCGACATTCCCTCTCGTCGCTCGCACTTCCCCTCATCACCCGTGCCGACCCTCGCCGCCCTCGCCTCCCCTCGTCGCCCGCACGTCCCGTCGTCGGGCTTGCCTCCCAGTCACTCGCGCTTCCCCTCGTCATCCGCGTTTTCTTCCGCTCTTCCCCTCTCCCCATCTCACCATCTCCAGCCCATCCTTCCTCCCTCATTCCTTCCGAAGGGGTGGGACAGATGGGGAGGAACAGATGGGGAGAAACAGAGGTGGTCGCTTCCGCCACCACAATCGAACAGCGTTTTGATTCCCTCTCTGCTCCCCACCATCCTCCCCCCAGCTCTCTCCCCGGCATCTGCCCCCGTTACCCCCATCCTCTTCCCTGTTTCCCCGTATCCCCTGCCGTGCTTCCCCCCATCCTATCCCCTCTTACCCCGTATCCCCTGCCCTGCTTCCCCCCATCCCCTGCCCTGCCTTCCCCCATCCCCTTCCCTGCTTCCCCCCATCCCCTTCCCTACTTCCCCCCATCCCCTTCCCTGCTTCCCCTCATCCCCTTCCCTGCTTCCCCTCGTCCCCTCCCCTGCTTTCCCCCATCCCCTTCCCTGCTTCCCTCCATCCCCTTCCCTGCTTTCCCCCATCCCCTGCCCTGCTTCCCCCCATCCCCCTCCCTGCTTCCCCCCATCCCCTTCCCTGCTTCCCCCCTTCCCTTTCCCTGCTTCACCCCATCCCCTCCCCTGCTTCCCCCCATCCCGTCCCGTGCTTCCCCCCATCCCCTTCCCTGCTTCCCCCCATCCCCTTCCCTGCTTCACCCCATCCCCTTCCCTGCTTCCCCCCATCCCCTTCCCTGCTTCCCCCCATCCCCTTCCCTGCTTCACCCCATCCCCTTCCCTGCTTCCCCCCATCCCCTCCCCTGCTTCCCCCCATCCCCCTCCCTGTTTCCCCCCATCCCCTTCCCTTCTTCCCCCCATCCCCTCCCCTGCTTCCTCCCATCCCCTTCCCTGCTTCACCCCATCCCCTTCCCTGCTTCCCCCCATCCCCTTCCCTGCTTCCCCTAGTCCCCTCCCCTGCTTTCCCCCATCCCCTTCCCTGCTTCCCTCCATCCCCTTCCCTGCTTCCCCCCATCCCCTGCCCTGCTTCCCCCCATCCCCCTCCCTGCTTCCCCCCATCCCCTTCCCTGCTTCCCCCCTTCCCTTTCCCTGCTTCACCCCATCCCCTCCCCTGCTTCCCCGCATCCCGTCCCGTGCTTCCCCCCATCCCCTTCCCTGCTTCCCCCCATCCCCTTCCCTGCTTCACCCCATCCCCTTCCCTGCTTCCCCCCATCCCCCTCCCTGTTTCCCCCCATCCCCTTCCCTTCTTCCCCCCATCCCCTCCCCTGCTTCCTCCCATCCCCTTCCCTGCTTCACCCCATCCCCTTCCCTGCTTCCCCCCATCCCCTTCCCTGCTTCCCCTCGTCCCCTCCCCTGCTTTCCCCCATCCCCTTCCCTGCTTCCCTCCATCCCCTTCCCTGCTTCCCCCCATCCCCTGCCCTGCTTCCCCCCATCCCCCTCCCTGCTTCCCCCCATCCCCTTCCCTGCTTCCCCCCTTCCCTTTCCCTGCTTCACCCCATCCCCTCCCCTGCTTCCCCGCATCCCGTCCCGTGCTTCCCCCCATCCCCTTCCCTGCTTCCCCCCATCCCCTTCCCTGCTTCACCCCATCCCCTTCCCTGCTTCCCCCCATCCCCCTCCCTGTTTCCCCCCATCCCCTTCCCTTCTTCCCCCCATCCCCTCCCCTGCTTCCTCCCATCCCCTTCCCTGCTTCACCCCATCCCCTCCCCTGCTTCCCCCCATCCCGTCCCGTGCTTCCCCCCATCCCCTTCCCTGCTTCCCCCCATCCCCTTCCCTGCTTCACCCCATCCCCTTCCCTGCTTCCCCCCATCCCCTTCCCTGCTTCCCCCCATCCCCTTCCCTCCTTCCCCCCCTGCTGCCTCCCATCACTCTCATTCTCCTTCCTCCCGCACTCACACCTCTCAGTCCTCTTGCACTCTCTCTCTCCGTCCTCTCGCACTCGCACTCTCCTCACCACCACCCTCAGCCCTCCTTCCCCTCACACCCACCCATGTTCCCACCTGCCCTCCCCATCCCTGCCTTTCCCTCCCTGCCCTGCCCTTCCCTTCTCCATCCCTTCTCAAGCCTTCCCTTTCATGTCATGCCCTCACCTTCCCCCTCATCTTCCGCCCTCCAGTTACCATGCATGTGCACCCATCACTGTCTCCCCATACCGGTACATGCTTTCATCATGTGCGCTTGCTTGTGTTCCCCTGCAGTTGTTCCCTTGGCACCTCACACCACTTCCCCCATGTTCCATCACACAATTCTTTCTGCCTACTCCACTCTCCAAATTTTCAGTGGTCAAGCAGAGGAGCAAGGTGAGGCGCAGCTAGAGCTAGTCCATGCTTTACGCCGTACCACCACCTGTTTCTTGTGTGTTGTATGCAAGCATGATACTGTATTACTGTTGGAGATATCCATTTCAAAAGCGCAATATGTTCCTGCAGTGCAATATATTCTTCCAAGATGCATGGGCAAGAGTGTCAGAAGGGTAGATAGAGGCATGATTCTACTTTTGATTGTACCCTCCTCAAGGACTTGAAAAAAAAATGAGGAATGGGATGATGGGCTTCGGCGAGTTTCAGTGCCATAAAATCTTCATTGGTGTCACTTCACTACCCAGGGAGAGGGAGGGAATACGAGGGATGGGGAGGGGGAACAAGACTAAAGTCAAACAGGGGAGATAGGGAAGAGGGGGGAGAGGAAAGCAGGGCTGAGAGGGAAAGACATAAGTACTGAAAATAAAAGGAGGATAGGGAAGAGGGGAGATAGGAAGAGGGGGAGAGGGAAAGTGTGAGATAGGAAGATGAAACAAGGTGAAGAAGAGGGGGAAACGAGGGGAAGCAGGGGGGGAAACGAGGGACAGCAAGGGGGGAAACGAGGGGAAGCAGGGGGGGAAACAAGGGAAAGCAAGGGGGGAAACGAGGGGAAGCAGGGGGGGAAACCAGGGAAAGCAAGGGAGGGAAATGAGGGGCCAGCAATGGGGAAAATGAGGGGAAGCGGGGGGGGTGGGGGGAGGGAAATGAGGGGAAGTTGGGGGGGAAATGAGGTGAAGCAGGAGGGTACAAACAGAGATAGCAAGGAGGGAAATGAGGTGAAGCAGGGAGGGAAATGAGGTGAAGCAGTGAGGGAAATGCGGTGAAGCAGTGAGGGAAATGAGGTGAAGCAGTAAGGGAAATGAGGTGAAGCAGTGAGGGAAATGAGGTGAAGCAGTGAGGGAAATAAGGTGAAGCAGTGAGGGAAATGAGGTGAAGCAGTGAGGGAAATGAGGTGAAGCAGTGAGGGAAATGAGGTGAAGCAGGGAGGGAAATGAGGTGAAGCAGGGAGGGAAATGAGGTGAAGCAGTGAGGGAAATGAGGTGAAGCAGGGAGGGAAATGAGGTGAAGCAGTGAGGGAAATGAGGTGAATCAGTGAGGGAAATGATGTGAAGCAGTGAGGGAGGTGAGGTGAAGCAGTGAGGGAAATGAGGTGAAGCAGGGAGGGAAATGAGGTGAAGCAGTGAGGGAAATGAGGTGAAGCAGGGAGGGAAATGAGGTGAAGCAGGGAGGGAAATGAGGTGAAGCAGTGAGGGAAATGAGGTGAAGCAGGGAGGGAAATGAGGTGAAGGAGTGAGGGAAATGAGGTGAAGCAGGGAGGGAAATGAGGTGAAGCAGTGAGGGAAATGAGGTGAAGCAGGGAGGGAAATACGGTGAAGAAGGGATGAGGGGGAGAAAGGGTGGGCCATGGGCGTAGAGCATAGGGCGCAGAGCATGGGGCGCAGAGCATAGGGCGCAGAGCATGGGGAACAGAGCATAGGGCGCAGAGCATGGGGCGCAGAACATAGGGTGCATAGCATGGGGCGCAGAGCATAGGGCGCAGAGCATGGGGCGCAGAGCATAGGGCGCAGAGCATTGGGCGCAGAGCATGGGGCGCAGAGCATGGGGCGCAGAGCATAGGGCGCAGAGCATTGGGCGCAGAGCATAGGGCGCAGAGCATGGGGCGCAGTGCATAGGGCGCCGAGCACAGGGCGCAGTGCATGGGGCGCAGAGAATAGGGCGCAGAGCGCAGGGCTCATAGAGCAGAGCGCAGGGGGCAGAACGCAGGGGGCGGAGGGGGCAGAGCGCAGAGTGCAGGGGCGCGGAGCACGTGTACCTGTCCTGGCGTGGTGGTGCCTCGTTCTAGCGCCCTCTCCACACTGCTATTCGAATAGAATAGTGCGCGCGCTGGACGTTTGTGAGTTGACGCGCTGCTAGACGACCAGTGGCGCGAGCTGCGCGTAAACCGGTGAGGGGGATGTTCGTCTCTGTATTTCGCGCGCTGCTACCCGCCCGTGGGCGCCCGGTGGCTGACAGAGTAGAATTGCGTAACCCTAAGGGTATGCGTATTGTGGACGCCCCCAGCGTGGCATTGCCCTAAGTAATAGGCGCTTTCGAGCCCAATATACGTTCGCAATGCCCCGAAACCGTTGACTTACGTGCTGCCAGAGGCAATCGATGTGCCAGAGGCAATCGATGTGCCAGAGGCCATATCGCGCTGTGTCGCGCTCTTCTCAACGCTCCTTCCTGCGACTCAGCATGTACGTTTTCTGGCATGTCACCTTCGTTTGCACGTTTCCTTGTTGTTAGCTCCTGCGGTTATTTCACACGAAGTAGTTAGCTTGATTGATAGTGGTGTTCTTTCTCCTGACTCGTGTTGGTGCTTCCCGTTTTCGTTTTTGCTAGTAGTCGCATTGTGCGTGGACCTTCTCCGCTACTTGAACCTGATTGGCTGAAGAACAATCCTTGCGACACTCCTTCCAGTCGCTCCACAGTGCTTGCAAATCCGTCAAAGCTGCACAGTGTCGTTCACCATCACTTCACGTTGTTGGGCTGAAAAAGCCCTCAGGATCTTTGCAGGGGTGAACTCTGGGTAGAGTTGGTGTAGTAGCGGAAGCGTTAATAAGGAGTTGTGAACCACCTTGTGTCAAACATTATATATGTTGTGCTTGTTTAAGCTACAGTGGGTTAGCCTATAGGGGGTACACAATTCTAGGGTTAGGTACTTGTACTGATTTCACTGTTAGTTCAATCATTCCTGTTCATTCATTTCAACATGGTATAGAGCAGGTCCTTCCTAGGACCGATTTTTTAGGGCCCACCACTACCTACCTACCTACCTACCTACCTACCTGCGCCCTAGGGCGCCTCGGTTTTCACGGCCCTCTGAGGCCCCGCGACCCGCGACCCGCCCCTTAGCGACTCGCGCGCCGCCCCTTAAGGCCCCGTCGGCCCACGCGCTCGCCCTTAGCGGCCCCTTACGGCCCCGCGCTCGCCCCTAGAGGCCCCAATCGGCCCCGCGCTCGCCCTTAGCGGCCCCTTACGGCCCCGCGCTCGCCCCTAGAGGCCCCGAACGGCCCCCGCGCTCGCTCTTAGCGGCCCCTTACGGCCCCGCGCTCGCCCCTAGAGGCCCCGAACGGCCCCGCGCTCGCCCTTAGCGGCCCCTTACGGCCCCGCGCTCGCCCCTAGAGGCCCCGATCGGCCCCGCGCTCGCCCTTAGCGGCCCCTTACGGCCCCGCGCTCGCCCCTAGAGGCCCCGAACGGCCCCCCCCCCAGAACGAGCCGCCCGACCCGAGCAGCCCGAACCGAGCCACCCTGCCCGAACCGAACCGCCCGAACCGAGCCGCCCAGCCCGAACCGAGCCGCCCGAACCGAGCCGCCCGAACCGAGCCGCCCAGCCCAAACCGAGCCGCGCCGCCCGAACCTAGCCGCGCCGCCCTTCCCGAGCCGCGCCGCCCTACCTGAACCGAGCCGCGCCGCCCGTACTGGACCGAGCCGCCCTACCTGAGTCGCACTGCCTACTGTTTTTGGGGTGCCCCTACTGCTATTACTCCTACTACTGCTATGGCTAGCCCTCCTGTACTGGCTTTCGATGCTGAGGGCCGCCCAGTGAAGTTCGAAACCTGGCTAGATGATCTACACCTCGTCCTACAGCTCATTGCCAAGGAGGACATCTCACTGTACGATCACGCCCTAGGCCATGCTCCTGCTCCTGCTGCTACTGCTGACAGCACTGCCCGCTCACAGTGGCAGACTCGTGACGCCCACGCTCGCTTCGCTATTCGCAACTCCCTGCCGATAGATGAGTGCGAGCACTTTGGGCAGCACAAGACTGCACAGGCACTGTACACTGCTGTCGTTGCCCGCTACTCCTCACCGGCCTCTGCTGCACTAGGCCGTCTCTCTCTTCCCTACCTGTTCCCCGACTTAGCCTCTTTCCACACAGTCGCTGACCTCATTACGCACCTCCGCACTAGTGAGGCTCGCTTCCGCGCCGCTATGCCTGATGAGTTCCTTGTCAAGAACCCACCCCCACTCTATCTCACTCTCTACCACCTAGTCACCCGCCTCCCTGACACTCTGCGCTCAGTCAGGGACCACTTCCTAGCTCGCTGCCCCACTGAGCTCACCATTGCCCTCCTCGAGAAGGAACTCCTTGCAGCTGAGGCTAGCATAGTCGCTGTAGGTGCCTCTCGTGGCGACCCCCGTACCCCGTTCTTTGAGGGGTGTTCTCCTTCCCCCCTTCTTCCCTCTGTCGCCTCTGCTGCTGCTGTCGACCTCCTTGGTGCTGAGAATGTCAGGACTGCGTCTGCTTCGAGCGGGCGCCGCAGCGGCAAGGGCAAAGGGGGCAAGGGCGGTGGCGGTGATAGCGGGGGAGGCGGTGGTGGGGGCGGTGGTGGCGGTGGGGGTGGTGGCGCGACTGGAGGGGCTAGTGGCAGCGGTGGGGGTGGTGGCGGCAGCGGCGAGGGAGGTGGCAGGGGCGGAGGCGGTGGTGGGGGTGGCGGTGGACGCGGCGGCGGCAGGGGTTGGGGTGGTCGAGGAGGTGGCGGCGGTGGTGGTGGTCGTGGAGGCGCTGGCGGTGGCCAGAACCAGCAGCACACTCCGTCGCCCCAGGAGGTCCGTGAGTGGTACTCACAGCACGGGGGAGGGGGGTGGCTTTAGCTGCACGTACGTCATTCGCACTGGTGACCGCACTGGTCAGCCGTGTGGGGGACCGCACGCCACACAGCGCTGCTTCGCTCGTCTCAACGACGCTTGGCGTGTTCAGTTCCCTCAGGCCACTGAGCTGCCCCGCTGGGTTGATCTCCTGAAGAAGGGGATTGATATCTATGCTCTAGACTTTGATGCTATTCTCACTGCTATGTATGTGATGTCTACTAGTGGAGAGGGTGCTGAGTACCTGTGTGTGCCGCCCGACCCGGGCATTAGGACTAGTGCGTCTGCCGCTCCAGGTACTCGCGTGTCTGCTACCCCAGGTGCTGGTGAGGCAGCTGCTCTAGGTGCTTGTGCGTCTGCCCACCCTGGTACTGAGTCGACTGCAGCACTGCACACCTTCACACTGGACTCAGGTGCTTCTCGCTGCTTCTTTCGTGACCGCACTGCCCTTGAGCCGCTTGCTCGGCCAGTTGCTGTCTCCCCTCGCTGACCCCTCTGGGGGTCCGGTCATTGCGACCTCCTCCACTGTCCTCCCCTGTCCTGCGGTCCCGTCGGGCACACTGTCAGGTCTCCACCTCCCCTCGTTCTCCACGAACTTGGTGGCAGGTAGTGCACTCCAGGACGGGGGTGTTCACCAGTTCACCCCTACCTACGAGCGCGTGACACACTGCACGTGTGCTCGTACGGGCCGCCACTTGGCTACCTTCACTCGGCAGCCCGGGTCGGACCTGTACACACTGACCACTGAGTCCCCTCAGGTCGCTGCGTCTGCGTCTGCGTCCGTGTCAGGTCAGCTGTCTGCCCCCTACTCTTGTCGCTCTCTGGCGCACGAGACTGTCCTTTGGCACCACCGACTTGGCCACCCGTCTGTGCAGCGCCTTCGTGCCATGCACTCCCGGTACCTTGTCTCCGGTCTTCCCAGAGTCCTCCCTCCCCTCCCACCCTCGCCTGCTCCTCCATGTCTTCCCTGCGTCGAGGGGCGGCAGCGCGCCGCTCCTCACTCCTCCTCGTTTCCCCCGACGACTACTCCCTTGCAGACGCTCCACATGGACGTGTGGGGCCCAGCCCGCGTCCGTGGTCAGGGTCAGGAGAGGTACTTCCTGATAGTTGTTGACGACTACTCGCGCTACACCACGGTCTTCCCCTTGCGCACCAAGGGTGAGGTCCCTGATGTCTTGATCCCTTGGATCCGCAGAGCCCGTCTCCAGCTCAGCGAGCGTTTCCACTCGGACTTTCCTGTCCTGCGCTTGCACTCTGACAAAGGTGGTGAGTTCTCCTCCGACCTCTTGGCAGCCTACTGTGCTGAGCACGGCATTGAGTAGTCGTTCACACTTCCGGCCTCACCACAGCAGAATGGGGTTGCGGAGCGCCGCATTGGCCTGGTCATGGAGGTCGCCCGTACCTCCTTGATCCATGCGGCTGCCCCCCACTTTCTGTGGCCGTTTGCGGTCCGGTACGCTGCGCATCAGTTCAACCTCTGGCCCCGTGTCTCCTTTCCAGAGACCTCGCCCACACTGCTGTGGACGGGGGAGGTTGGCGATGCGTCGCGTTTCCGGGTCTGGGGATCTCGAGCTTTTGTCCGCGATACGTCTGCGGACAAGCTCTCCTCCCGTGCTGTTCCCTGCGTCTTCCTCGGCTTTGTCCCGGACGCGCCTGGTTGGCAGTTTTACCACGCCACCTCACGCCAAGTCTTGCCCTCTCAGGACGTCACTTTTGACGAGTCCGTCCCCTACTACCGCCTCTTCCCCTACCGCAGTGCCCCGCTCCCCCCCCCGCCTCTCTTCCTCGCGCCAGGTGCTGCTGTCGTAGACCCCCTCCCCCCTCAGGGTGCCGCTCCCTCAGGTGTGTCTCAGGTAGACCCGGTTGAGCCTGTTGAGGTAGCTGTCGACTCTCGTCCTGCTGTGGGTGCGGAGCCTGGGGGTGCTGAGCCTGGGGGTGCGGAGCCTGGGGGTGCTGAGCCTGGGGGTGCGGAGCCTGGGGGTGCGGAGCCTAGGGGTGCTGAGCCTTGGGGTGTGGAGCCTGGGGGTGCTGAGCCTGGGAG